GACACTTACGAACGTTCAAAATATTTCTATAAACTTATCTGATATTCTTTGTGTCTACAGGTATTCAGGCCAAGGACATAACCCAAAAGGACGTATGTCGAACCTATAATTTATAGCATTTCTCACAGAAAAGCTTGTTTGTAGTTTGTTTGTTATGGATTTTGTCCAAAGCTACACGAGGGCTATCTGCGCTAGCCGTCCCTATTTTAGCAGTGTAAGACTAGAGGGATGGCATCTAGTCATCACCACCTACCGCCAACTCTTGGGCTACTCTTTTACCAACGAATAGTGGGATTGACCGTCACATTATAACGCCCCCACGGCTGAAAGGGTGAGCATGTTTGGTGTGATGGGGATTCGAACCCGCGACCCACAGATTGTGAGTCGAGCACCCTAACCATCTGGCCATGCCGGGCCACAGAAAAGCAACAGGTATTCAGGCCAAGGACCTAACCCAAAAATTACATCTGACAAGACCTACAGTTGATATCGTTTCTCACAGAAAAGCAACAGGACAAGGATGATGTTTCATCACATTAGCACAGTGTTCAATAGGGTTTCTTCAAAAACTCCGTCTGGATATTTTTGGAGGGGAGGGTTATAATATACAGGGTTAGGCAATGTTACTATACAGTACAGTTGGTACTGAAGTAAGTGAGGACAATTGATCCCACTTTGATTATTGTTTCTTTGAGAATAAGTCGTTAGATATTAAACTATGATCCAAAGGAAACTATACAAGTCACTTTTGATTGACCCTTTACAAACTGAACAGTTACTCATATAGATGTCTTTGTTCATTCAAACTTCCCACAGGTGGCAGTCACATCATTTATTTTACTTGTTTATTCACACTTACACAAGTAAAAAGTTTATATCACGATCTGTTAAATACATACATATATAAACAAGTATGGTTTAGCGAGTTTTTTTTTTCCCATGCTTACCAATAGAATAGAAACTGGTTTCTCTCTCTGTTCAGGAAAACAGATGGGCATTAGAGAGTGAGAACTTTGTTTTTAAAGATTCGTAACTGCAATTTTTAAGGAGCGTCGTGAGTAACGATGCACTGATAATTATTATCTTAAGCTGTTTAGTATTGGCCAATCTTAATGAATAATAAACTATTTTAGCTGAATGTCTAATAAACTTATAGAACAAAAAGTAGAAATTTCGTTCAACACATACACACACACACACACAACGACACACACTATTATGTCTGTCTAAGCTGTCGAACGAAGAGTATTCTGTAATTATATATTTCAAGTTTTATATACCAAATACATTATATAAGAGAAATCTTGAAATAATTATAGTGTTATATGATATTATTATTATTTTTTGCTAATATGAATATATATGTTCAGTAATATTCCATTAGACCCCCAAAGTATCATCTAATATGTAAAACTTGAATTTCATGCTATCATTACGGCTCTGTAAATTCTATGGAAATAGGTTAATGTTGTCACGTCCGCAAAACTCTATCAGCCATTCCTGATCAGAAAACACTAGGACTATATTGCTTATCACAGAGATTCCGGGAGAAAGGGACCAGTCTGCTATTACAAATCGGGTTTGAAGTATTACCAAGACGTAACGCTCTCAAGGGGCGTTAACATATGTGTTTTTGTAAATTACGTTATAAGTCCTCTTTTCATATGAATAAAAGTTTTCCTTCAAAAAAGAAGATTCACTATATTGTTTTTTTTCTTCTAAAGAAAAAGAACATCAAAAGTTTTGTAAGGGTTTGAAACACACATTACGTGGAAAATATGTAAATTATAAATAATATTGCTTTACATCATATATATTCATTTCAATTTTATCTCATAAAATAACAGATTAGTTATACAATTATAATTTGTGTTTGAGTTACTGAGCAGACTTTTAAAGCATTTTCATATTCACGTAAACGTTTAAGAGAAATGAGTACTTCAGGTGGAGTGTTTTAAGAAAATGTTACATGACAGGTAGGATGAAATGTAACATGATCGGAAAGTTGAATAATGTAACATGGTTGGTAGGTTAAATATTGGAACCTGATTAATAGGTTTAATAATGCAGCATGATGAGCAAGTTAAACAATGTAATGAATAGGTTAAATAATGTAACATGATGAGTAGATTAAATAATGTAGCATGATGAGCAAGTTAAATAATGTAACGTGACGAGTAGATTAAATAATGTAGCATGATGAGCAAGTTAAATAATGTAACGTGACGAGTAGGTATAGGTAAAGTAATTCATAAAATATATTAGCATT